TTAGATTTTTTCACTCATTTCCATACTTTGTTCTGAGTTTAGAGATGTTGATAAGTTTATTGTGAATTGGCACCTCACAAATACATAAGCTTTTGTCACATTGGGTTTATATTGCCTATGTTCCTTTAAGGATCAACCTTGAAGCAATGATATTAATTAGGCTGATGCCAACCTAGAAGTAATTTGCATGTGATGCATTAGAAAAAGTATTGAGTATTCTGATACAGCAGTAGAAATGCTGACCTGGAAGACAGAAAACCTGGGTTGCACCTGCCAGTAACTAACTTTATGACCTTGGATGGGTTACTTTACCTTCTTGGATCTCATTTTCCTATTCTGCAAAAGGAAGGCTTTACACTACATATGCTTATGGACCACTTCAGTACTAGTGTTCTAAGACCCTCTGATTCTAAAATTGTAATGGCTACTACAAAACAGAAGTAATCCACTTGCTTTTGTTTTTTGAGTTCTTTATTTCCCATAGATTTGTTGATACCTCTTAAAGAAATTACATACCTATTAAAGCTCAAAGGAAGTTTTGATTTATTTAGTGGCATAATATTTATGCTAAGATGCAGTGCTTTCTTTCTTTCAAAAGAAATAAAAGTATTTTTCCTGAGTTCTATGTTCATATATGGGGGAAATATATAACGAAGAAAAAAATTACCCCTAATTTTTCTCTGTATTTTATTAATATATACTGTATATATACACATATACTTGTATGCATATCATATCCATTATGTAACTTTGTGCTCTTTTTTCATTTAAGATTAAAAAGTGAATGTTTCCCAATTACTGCAAACATTTAAATAGTGTCATCCTAATACGTTGTGTGGCTGTTATATGAAGCTTCTGCTTACCTCTTCATCCTCACCTTAAAAAAATATTCTTTTCCTTTATTTGTCAGTTTTCAAAGCAATATGTTGGTACCCTAGCATCCTCTGAAGGTCAGTGTGATTTTTTAAAATCTGACTCCTTACCTCTGCCCTTATTTCCTCACCCCACCTTCATCCGTGCTCCAGTCCACCCTGCTCCCCACCGCACTCCCACTTCTGTCCTCTCTAAACCTCTGTTCCATGTTTCCCCAAGCTCTAGCTAGTCCCTCGCCTACATTTCATCTGCTTCCTCTCTACTGGCTTTATTCTCTCAGCTCGTAAACATGATATATAGCCTGCTGGTCTCTAAAAAATAAGCAAACGAAAAAACCTAAAAAACCCTCTTGATGTATGTTCCCTTCTAATATTTTAAAAATATAGACTACATTTGTTGCCCCCACCCCCTTACCTCTATTCTCTTAGTCTGCTGTGATCTCTTTCTGCCGTTATAATTCTTTCAAACACTGACCGTTAAGTTCACTAGTGTCCTTCTGGTTGTCACATATTGCAGCCACTCTTGAGGCCTTGTTTTGTGTGTCCTCTCTACCTCATCTCACAAACTGTTCAGTTATTCCTCTTAAAAATAACTTGTTTAATTTCAAAAATAATGTTTATTTTAGAAAACTTAGAAGCAAATAAATCACTGTTAATAGTGTGATGTGTTACTTAACATTCTTTTTGAGCTTATCAGTTCCATGGAACAATTCCCTTCAGTTCCATGAAAGTTTTCTCCTGTTGTATTTTCTCCCTTTCTCTTCCTGTTCCTCAGTTTATTTGGTAAACTTTCTTCCTCCACCTGCCCTTTAAATAGTGGCGTTCTCTGGTGTTGTGTCCTTGGCTTTATATTCTTCTAACGCTACACCTCTCTTTGGATATTTTCAAAATGATTTTTAGAAAAGTTAACAGATGTATATCCACAGACATCTAGAGTCATGCATACACACAGTAAAATGTGTACATGGTAAATTTCAAATCCTGTAATTTTCAGTAAGTAATTCTCTTCCCACTTCTCCCCAGAGTCAACCACTGGGGAGTAGAGTTGTGTCCTTGTAGAGAGATAATGTGTATATGCTAGTACATATCTACTTATATATTTACTTGCATAATTGTTCTTTTAAAATTACTCCTTGTAATAAGTATATGTAAGTATACTATACATACTGATTTGCATCTTTTTTACCTAATAATATGTAGATCATTTCATTTGAGCATATAGAGATTCTTTTTAGTGACTGCATAGTATTTTTTCATTTGTTTTCCGATTTTCCCCCACTACACAACATTTTATTTTGAAAGAATTCAAACTTACAGAAAAGTTTTTAAAACTTAATAGTAGACATAATTAACAGCTACCTGTATACCTACCTACCTACCTTTCTTTCTCTATTCATTTTCTTTTTTTTTCCTGAATCATTTGAAGTAAAACTAGGTATTGTGACAGTCCAAAATTATTCAATATGTATGTCTTAAGGACTAGGACATTTTCCTACATAATCACAATACCTTTATTACACCAAAGAAATTTAAGATCAGTGCAGTATTATCTAATATAAAGTCTATATTCGAATTTCACAATTCAAAATTGACCCCAAATAATCCTTTATAGTGGTTTTTCCTCTCTCTGATCTAGCAGCCAATCAAGAATTAAGCTTTGCATTTGGTTGTCATAGTCCTTTCTTTCATTTAACTACTGTTTAAATTCATGACTACTAAACTAGATCTCTAGGTTAAACTCTTCCCTGAAGCTAACTTAGATGTCTACTAAGCATAATTATTTGGCTGTCCCACTAGCAAGTCCAAAATAGTGTGTCCAAGATGAATTCTATTTTTTCTATGCTCAAAACTACTTTTCCTCCTATATTCTTAACTTAGTGAATGGTATTGTTCAAATTTGCCTAAACAGGAGACCTTGGAGTCATCCTAACCTCTTCCTTCTTTGAAACTGCACAAGCTATGTCCTTGGCCTGAATTCTCTTCCTACCTTGTCTACCAGTTCATCCATCAAGATGCAGATTAAGCTTTACTTCCTCTGGCAAACTTTCCCTGATCCTTTTTTTCTCCAGGCAGAATTAGCAGTGTCCTCCAGTAGGTTCCCTTAGTACCCTGTACACACACCTATCCCATCAGTTACCACTTCGGGTAGGAATTGTTGGTGTCTGTATCTGCCTTCCTGATTAGAGGGTGAGCTTCTTGAGTTGGTGTTGACTTGTTTTCTATCCTTGGTCTAGAAATGCAGTACTTGGCCCTTAAGTGTTTAATGAATGAGTATTTATTGAATGGAAGAATATGTTTATAGACATTCTCTTTAGCAAGTAGAAATAAAGATTTTTCAAAGTTCAGCTCAATTTGGCATGCATTTGTTGAATCCTACTATGTGCACATGCAAGTTTCATGCAAGTAGTAAGTTTTATTTTCTGCTTTGAAGAAAGGTTAGGATCTAATTGAGAAGACAAGGCCAGCACTTTAGAGGTTTAAACAATACTAAAGGTAACCCCAATTATCTGATGAATAATGTATACAGTAACCTCTCGGAGAGAGAAGTTAATGTTTTTGAATACTTACTGTGTGTCAGTTACTGTTCTTTGTATTTGCAAATGTTATTTCATTGAATCTCTGATTGACTCCAGAAACATACTCTTAAGTGTTCCAAAGGCAATTAAGAGAGTTATAAAGTGATGGTGTAAATTTAGGGAAAATATAATACTCAATTGTAGGAAAATAATTACATTATTGTATTTCCCCACCATTAAAGGTTATATAATCATTACAAACTAAGTGGCTGAGAAATATTTAGTATCTTGAAAACATGTTTATGATATAATGTGGAGTACAAAAAAAGCAGTAGGTAAAAGTATGGTTCTATTTTTTTTAATGTACATATATTTTTGTACAGAAAGGATTAGAAGGTGGTACATAAATGGTTAGCTCTAATTCTCCCAAAGTTGTGGCGTTATGGACTATATGAGCTTCTTCTTTGTAACAATCTGTTCCATATTCTCTACAATGAACATGAACTTTTATAATTAAAAAAATAATTTAAAGGACTAAAGGAAAACAATCAAGCAGAACTTATTTAAAGCCTTAGAATTATTAAAGTAGAGCAGTTTTATGTTGACCTTTCCTACCTCTGGGATAGAACTGGCCTAACCAGACAGTTGAATGGTTTCTATTTTAAGATCATCTCACTAGGATAAGCCACTGTCCCTCTGCCTTACAGGCACTTTCTTGCCCAATAGCAAATGGAAAAGGAATTTTCTCTTTATATTATTTTGTGAAGACATGGTCATGAGAGACAGTCCCATGTCTTGTATAATTTTTATTGTATAAAGAGATTTTTCCTGAAATAAGGACCACATTTAATGCTCCTACCTGGAAGAATAATTTGATAACTCCTGCCTGGGTTTCATGTTCTACTTTGTAAAAACATTGAGATAAATGATACATATAGATATTTAAGAGGAATCAAAAAGGAATAGAAAAAATGGGTTGTATATGTCTCCATTAGTTTTCTTTTAAAAGAAGTATTTTATTCATGATCTCTCTCTGGTTTTCCTGTGGGTGCTATTTTTCTAACATAGTGTGTTATGACTGACTTTCCTCGTTGGGATTTAGCACACTCTAGTGGGCAGTAGCTTCTCAATTTTGGTTTTTTGTTTTGTTTTTTTAATCATGCCAAATGACTTCATTGGACAATTCAGTGATGCACTTACTAGATGGTAAAGTTTGTCAATATTTATTTGAGTCAAATAGTAATCCTAGCTAGCAGGCCTAACTTTATAAGCCACTGGGGTGTTGTACTTTTTTATGTGGTTTCTTTAGTAGAGAGGGGAGAGGCTTTTTATGTTACATGGAAACTTGTTTCCATTGACTTTCATCTTCTCTTGGATAAAATATAATTGATGGTGAGGCCCAGACAGAAGAACGCTGGTAGTCTTCCTCTGTCTCACACTCCCTGGTTATTATATTTTATGTTTCTATTTTAGGACTCGAGATTTTTATATGCCACTTTGTGAAAATTTTTACCATTTGTGCATAAATGCTGTCATATTCTATCCCAATGGTTGCTTTTGGAAATTGGCTTCCACTTAAAAAAAAAAGTAATTTCTTATTTTGTTTTTACAGAGTGATGGTGAGGATTTTAATTACATCGTTGCGTTTTTCCTTGGAACAGCAGCCTGCCTTTACCAGGTGGGTTCTCTCCCATTTTTAAGAAACACTTTCCCATTATTGCTTGTTTCAGGTGTCAGTTCTAATAATTCTTTATGCACTTTAAATAAATAAAAATGTCTGAATTCTATGCCTCTTTTAATTTGAGCCTCTGTTAGTTTTGTTAGTTAGTTGAATTGATGTAGATCCCAGTGAATTCAGTGTGAACCGTCTCCTGTGCTGGGGCTTCGGTGGTGGCATGTCGTCTGCCTACAGCAGTAAAGGCTAATTCTGGATATTCTGGGACTGATTATTCAGCTTCAAAGCTCTGCTTGTACTCCAGACTGAGGATTTTGTACTCTTGGGGAAGTCTTTGAATAGACAACAGCAAAGGCAGGATTTTAAGATATTTGATTTAGCAGTGATGAATAGGATGGGTTGTCAGAGCGGAGAGACTAGAAGCAAGGAAATTAGTTGAGAGGTGATTCCATTACTTCAGATGGAAGGTATTGAAAGCCTAAACTATGGTAATGGCAGTAGGAATAGGAAGAGAAAGGACACGGAGAAGGAAGATTCTCTAGGACTTGATGGCAGAATAGATCTGAGACTTTCAGGAGGGAGGGATTTTGCCCTTGAGTGATAGGGAGTTGTGTGCTCTCATTTCCAAGACCAGAGGAGGCACAGATACATAAGGAAGGGGGAGGAACCATGCCAGTGACCCAGACTCAGCAATGTCTCTACTCAAACATGTTAGAGCCAGCTAAGTCTTCTGGCCTAACTTGTGTCTGTCTTGCAATGAAAAATGTTAGAAACAGTCAGGACTGCAAACAAAAGGCTACCTAAAACTCAGTGGAAGTCTTTAGGGAAATATTTTAAATATAGGCACTTGACTTTTGTGTAAAGACATCAGAAATTTTAGTTTCAGTGTCTCCATTTTTTTAAATTCCCTAATTTTTCTTAATCATTTATATTAGCTTCAGAAATGGTTTTTCTGTCAAATTTGACGGATTCAATTATAATGAATGACATTTCGTGCAGGAAATGTGAAAACTTGTATTCATTGATGTCTCAGTACTTTAATTTTATGAAATATTCTTGTGTAGATTTTCTACTTTAATCTGCAGTCCTGTCACAGGTATATTATCCTCCTTTTGAAAACGAGAAATCTGAGGCAGTTTCAGTAGTATCCCGAGATCACATAGCTTAACTCTGAGTCTTCTGAAGTGTCGTATTCCTTTCATTCTGTCTCTAAGTAAAATTCCTCTGTTTATATGATTTTTATAATGCTATAAAATTTATAATTTAGTAACTTTTATGTGTATTGTTTCATATGATTCTAAAACAGTGTGAGGTAATTATTAACTTTCAAATAATTTCATGAATGATTATTCTTGTAAAATCTACTTCTAGCTTTTTGCCTTAATGAAATAATTTTAAATGCTAATAATAATGCCAAATGTATCAAGCTCTTACTTTGTGCTAAGCCCTTTGCATTCCTTGTACCATTAAATCCTCACAGAAAGCCTTATGCTAATCCCATTACCATCACCATTTTTCACAGGGGCCTAAACTGTTTTTACAACCAGGGACTTGAACCTAGGTCTGTGTGACTCCAGAACCAGAGCTCTTCCTACAGATAGGGACACCTCTGTTACTTTCCTCAGAACAGCTGAAAGTATTTCAAGAGTTGTCTCATGGTGGAGCAGTGTCACCCAGGTGTTCATTTGAGGAGGGTAAACAAAGTGTGATGCTTTAGAAAAGAAAAGCAGAAAACAAATTTTCTGGGGTGGGTATAACTCAGTGCTAGAGTGTGTGCTTAGCATCCATGAGGTCCTAGGTTCAATCCCTAGTACCTCCATTAAAAAAAAAACAAACCTAACACTAAATAGATAGACCTAATTACTCCCCCAACCCCCCCAAAACAAAACAACAAAAAACAAATTTCCTTTGTATTGACAGGCATGAAACTGTATGCTTTCCAAATATGCTGAGCAGAGTGATAAGAATGTTGTTTTTTTCCACAGTAAAATTTAAGAGATTCTATTTTACCACATAATATGTTCTGTCTCCAGTTGTCAGGATATTTTTTAATCCCCTTCAGATCAGCCCTCAAAGGCCACTGGTACGTGGTTTGTTGCCTTTGTCTCCAGGCTACAATTCAGTCAGATAGGGGTAGTCTTGATATGGAACATTTAGAATAGGAAATCAGAAGAAGTCTGAAGAAATTAGAGACTATTTCTTTTCCCTCAGTGTTTTATTTTGAAAACCTTCAAACTTACAGATAAGTTGGAAGACTAGTACACCTAGAATCATGAATTTGTAACATTTTGCAACACTTGCTTTAACTTTCTCTGTATGCTTGTGCATATAGTGTGTATATTCATTGTTCAAAAAGTAAGTTGTAGATAAAAATGAATGTGTGAAGTTGTTTTTCTTATTAAACTTTTTATTTTGAGATAATTGTAGAGTCATAAGAGAGATCTTGTATAACCTTTAACTATTCCACCCCACCCCCAAAATGGTACCATCTGGCAAAGCTGTAATACAGTATCACAACCAGGATATTGATGTTGATGCAGTCAAGGTACAGAACCGTTCTGTCACCATGAAGACTCCTCATGTTGCCCTTTCATGGTTTCCACCTGCCCCAACCTGTCCTTAATCTCTGGCAACCACTAATGTGTTCTCCATTAATATAATTTTCTTGTTTTGAGTATGTTATATAAATGGAACCATATAGTATGTAACCTTCTGTGACTGGCATGTTTTACTCAGCATAATTGTTTGGAGATTTATCCAAGTATTGCATGTATCAGTGATTTGTTCCTTTTTATTGCTGAATTGTACTCCATGGTATGGCTGTACCATAGTTTGTTTCATTATTCACTCATTTGAAGGACATCTGAGTTGTTTCTAGCTTTCAGCTATTATAAATGAAGCTGTATAAACATTCATGTACAGGTTTTAGTGTGAACCAAAGTGTTCATTTCTCTGAGATAAATAGGAGTGCAATTGCTGGGTCATGTGGTAGTTGCATGCTTAGTAAAAGACAGTTTTCTAGAGTAGTGTACCATTTTACATTCCCACCAGCATTGTGTGAGTGAGTGATCCAGTTTCTCTGCATGCCCATCAGCATTTGGTATTGTCACTATTTTTTGTTTTAGCCATTCTGATAAGTGTGTAATGATACCTCATTATGGTTTTAATTTGCATTTTCCTAATGGCTAATGATGTTGAATATAATTTCATGTGCATATTTGTCATATGTATATCCTCTTGGGTGAAATGTCTAGTCATGTCTTTTGCCTATTTTCTAATTGGATTGTTTGTCTTTTACTGTTGAGTTTGAGAGTTCTTTATATATTCCAGATATTAGTCCTTTGTCACAGTTATGCAGTTTGCATATCTTCTCCTAGTTTTAACTTATGTTTTCATCCTCTTAACAAGGTCTTTTGTAGAGCAAATGTCTTAAATTTTTATGGTTTAATTTCTCAATTTTTTCTTCTATGCGTCATGCTTGTGGTATTGTCTAAGAACTCTTTGACTGCCTCCAGATCCTGAAGATTTTCTCCTGTTCTTTCTAAAAGTTTTATAGTCTTATGTTTTATATGTAAGTTCATGATCCATTTTGAGTTAAATTGTATGTAACATGTGGGGGTTTTTGTTTTTTGATTTTTTTGCTTTGCATGGATGCTTAAGTTCTCCAGCACCATTTGTTGGAAAGGCTTTTTTTCTCTACTGAACTGCTTTTGTATTAAGAAAGTTGGGCACGTTTATATGGGTCTATTTCCGGATTTTGTATTCTGTTCCATTTATCTGTGTCTGTCCCTCTGCCAGTACCATATAGTTTTGATCACTATAGCTATGTAATAAGTCTTAAATTCAATTTTTAAAAGATTTCTGAAGCCCTGGAGAGTTGAAACATCTCCTTACAGCATTATAGGCTCCCCACGTAGGCTTTGATGGGATGGGTGTGGGCAGTCACAGTTTTTTTTAGTGGTGTTTGGCTGGGGTAGCATAGTTATCGTGTAAAAGTTCTCTGTCTTGGTAAAGTGCCCCTTTCTTGGTCTTTTGGCTATAGGGAGCAAGATTTTACTTGGGAGTTTGTTTGTTTTTTAATGTGCACCTATTGGTGTTTCTAGTTGTCAGCTGCTTCAGCTCCAAGTGTGGGATCTATGAGGCAAAAAAAAAAAAAAGGCTTAGGTAATTTACCGCTGTGTCATTTCTTGAGTCTCAAGGTCCTTAGCCTGTCTGCCTTCTTCTCTCCATCATCCAGAGTCACTTGTTTGATATGTAGTGTCCAGGGTTTTTAGTTGTACTTAGTGGGAAGAATAAGGGAAAGTACATCAACTTCATCTTTCCAGAAGCGGAAGTTCCTGCACAGTTGTTTCTGAAGTAAGTTACAAACATTAAGATACTTCATTTCTGGAAACTTCAACGTGTATCTTTTGAGAACAAAGATACACTTCTACATAGTGATAATACCTTTATCACACCCAAGAAATTTGACATTGATACAATATTACCTAATACAGGAGTCATATTCAGATTACTTCAGTTGTCTCCAAAATGTTCTGTGTAGCTGTTCTCCTCTGATTCCAGATTATGCACTGTGGTTGGTTGTTGCATATCTTTTAATCTATATTGCCATCTTCTGGCCTTTTTGTTGTTCTGTTTTTGTCTTTCATAACTAACAGTTTTTTAACAGTCCAGGCAAGCACCTTATAGAATGGCCTAAATCTGGTTATGTCTGTTTCTCATGATTAGATTCAGGTTAATTATTTTGGTAACAGTACTGTGTAGTATAGCATGCTGTATATCTCTAATTCAGGAAGCATGCAGTAAATTTGATCATTTGGTTAAGGTGATGCCTACCAGATATCTCTATTGCAAAGGTATCTTTTTTCTCTTTGTAGTTAATAAATAACCTGTAGGGCAAAGACCATTACATTTTAAAGCCCTTGAAAACCACAAATTAAATATTTATTTAAAAAAATACCAGAAAATCTAGCTCTTGTAGATTTCTAGATAGTAGAATTCTAATTAATAAATGTAGGGAATGATAGAAATAGAAAATGATCATTTGGCAAACACCATGATAATAATTGTTACAGGCAGGAATCATCAATAGATGCTAAAATTAATGGGCAAAAGTATGATGGGATAGGATATGTACATAACCTCAGAGTATCCTCCCACAGGTACTGATTACAAAGAGAACAATAGTAACTTCAGTGGAGAAACCTGTCAGATACCACCTTACCAAGAGATCAGAGTTAGTAAGTAATTTGACATACTACATACACATCAGCTCTGTGGTATTCTTGCCGAGCTGAGTATCAGTTCAACCTTGGAACAACATCAGGAAAACCAAAATTAGGGAACATTTTACAAAATAACGGATCAATACTCTTTAAGACTGTTAAGGTCATTGAAAACAAAGAAAGAGTTGAGAATCTGTTACAGATTTGAGGAGACATGACAATTAAATGCAATGTGGAATCCTGGATTGGGTTCTGGACCAGAAAAAGGGCCTTATAGGACAACCGGAAAAATTTCAATGAAGTCTGTAGTTTATGTAACAGTATTGTATCAGTGCTAATTTCCTGGTTTGATGATTATTCTGTAGTTATATATGAGGACAGCATTAGGTCAGGGTAAAGGGTATATGGGAATTCTTTACTGGTTTTGACAACTTTTCAGTAAGTCTAAAATTATTTCAGAAGAAAAAGGTTTTTTTCCCTCTGTTTTTCAACTTTTTTTTAATATAATGCAAAACACCCCAATAAAATAAATGCTTCCAATTCATTTTACTTGGATAGGAAGCACAATTCTAATCTATGTAAGAACTAAACACATTAAACAAAACATCTCCACATTCTTTCTGTATTGTCACAAATGCCCTAATGTCCCTCCTATTCTGAAGTCTGGATACAATTTCACAGAGACCTGTGCTTCTTTCTTAAGGCTTTGTGATCATATATGATTCCTATATTTACTGGACTGTGAATTTTAGATATCTTCTAGAAAACAGTTCATTTAACAAATTTTTATTGAGCACGTACTATGTGTCAGACACCGTTCTGGGCACTGGAGAAAAATGAGTGAACAAACAGTTAAAAACTTCTCTCTTCATGAAGCTTAGATTTTATTGGAAGAATACAGATGACAAATAAAATAAGCATATTTTTGAAGTATGTTTATAGTATTGTTACGGGGAAAAATAGAACAGGGAGAGTGAATGCCAAGGTTTGGGAGCAGGAGAGTACTTTCTTTACTGTATTTTCTAAAATAGCACTCATTGCATTCTTTGTTCCCTTTTTCTGAATTATCTTTAATATTTTTCAGAACACAACTACTTGATTTTATACATATATTATATATATAAATATAAAATATGTATAATGTTTATAGTCTGTCTCTGTCCAGTAGAATGTAAAGTCCATGTGAGCGAGGTCTCTATTTGTTTACTGAAAACTAAAGAATAGTGCCTGTCTTGTAGCAGGTCCTCAATAAATATCTGTTGAACGAATTCTCCCTCAAGTGTTCAGTCAGATCCTGCCTAGTTTAGCTCCTTGCATTCAGTGGGGTTTGGTAAGTATTTATTGATTTCATTGCTATTTAGATTCAGGTTATATGCGTCCATTTCGCTGAAGAGCTTGTGTGAGTCTTTTGTGCTTTTCTGGGATCGAACCCCCTGTGACGCTGGGAATGCTTCTTAGTTGCCTGTCATCTTGAGGAATTTGTTCAGCCTGTTTGCAAGGGAGTTATCCTTTAAATATGATACAAATCTTCTTTCTTTTGAAAAATGAAAAACGTAAAAGGAAAAATCGATTTCCCTTTTAAGCTATGGTGCTTTCACAGCTGAATGTCTTAAAGATGTTACATTATCTTTATCTGTAGTTGAAAAATCCCCTTATTCCACTCTCATATTTTACCCTGTGACCTGTTACAGTTTTATAGTGGAAGCATTTATTTTTTTCCTGTAACCACAATCGTCTTTCATTTTTATATTTTCAACAGTGTTATTTACTTGTCTACTACACCAGCTGGAGGAATGTCAAATCTTTTTTGACTTTTGGCTTAATCTGTCTATGCAACATGTATCTCTATGAACTGCGCAACCTCTGGCAGCTTTTCTTTCACGTGACTGTGGGAGCGTTTGTTACGCTACAGATCTGGCTAAGGCAAGCCCAGGGCAAGGCTCCTGATTATGATGTTTGACGCCATCCTTCAGACATACTGCCTTGGCTTCAGGGGAAAAGGAGGGAGACTATCATAACTACCACTGTGATGAAGAAACTGTTCACCACAAACCAGAAGCTCTGCTTTCTTTCTCTCCAACTGTTTTTGGTTTGAGTCAGCGTGGCATGCCTGTGAGCATGCAATACCTGCTAGGCAAACTCCTCTCAGCAATGATGGCCGTGAAATTATCATGAGGAAGAGGAAGAGGAGACCTCTCCTCAGGGCCACGGCAGTGGAAGAACAGTCAGACGCCATTGAAAGACTTGGCCAACAGCTGTGAATCCTGGCTGAAGCGTTCAACTAAAAACTTTGTGTGGTACTTGCTGTGAGAACCAAGCAGGAGCTCTACAACCCGGGTTTGCCTTTGTGAGGCATTAGTGTAGACCAAATAAAAAGATGCTGCAGTGAATTGGGAAGTTTATGTGTAAAACAGATGACTTGGTAAATATCAGATTATTTGCAGATTTATGGTACCATGAGTTTATGAAGTCCTGAATGGTGTGGAATTGGTTCTTTTCCCTTTTATGTTTTTGCTTGAGTCTTAACTCTAGAAATTACCCAGTGTAGGAGAAGGCTGTGGTGAGCTCATCCCTGGAGCATCACAAGTGTTGAAAATACAGTGAAAATACGTATTTCTTTACTAGACCATGTTTATACTTTCTTTTGAAATCATTTTTTTAAAATACGATTTGTTGGACTATAGCTGTTTTTTCCCAGACTTCAATTACTTGAGTATTACATAGGCTATTATTTACTTGATATTTATGTTTTAAATTTTAAAATATTTTAAAAGAAACTAACCTCTACTCCAAGTGGAAAACCAGTATCAGTTTGCCATAAATAAAAGATAACTACAAAATAAATAAAATTAAAACAAAAAATGTTACTAAATTCTAGCTGGATACTAATACCTGCCAAGGCTCTGAATCTAGAAAGTCTGTTCTTTCTTTGTTACAGTGAGAGAGGTTATCCAGCACCAAAATGGGGCTCTCTCTTTGGAATTATCAGAAGTATAAAGAAAATTATATAGGGAATGACATTCTCACTGTGATTCAACGTTATTAAATTCATTGTTGTGTACCACCTAAAATCATCTTGCATGCCACCAACTGGTATGGGTCCTGCACTATGGAAACACTGAGCTGTTCTAAGAATTAGAAGGTGCCTGACTCTTCTCTCAGCACCTCTTATTATTTTATGGCTTTGAGGAGTTAAGCACCTACTACCTTAAAAAACTTACTTGCTTTTTGATAACATTATAAAGGCTGTTCAAGCAGTTACACATTAATAATAGAGGAAGCATAATTTGGTTCCATTAACAAAATCAACTCTTTTGGTTTTGAAGCCATCTTCATGAGTGATTTTCTTGAGAAAAGATTCCAATTAAGGATCATGAGGTACTAAAATTTGATATCCAGAAAAACAGTGGACCTATTACATATACTTCATGTTCCTGGGCATATTAATTATGCAGAAGAAATAGTCCAAAGGGGTAAAGTCATTGAACTGCATTGTTTGCAGAACCAGTATACATAGATATGTTTACAGTGAAAAATCTTGCTTAACCAGAACCTTTCTGCTACACTATCCTTTTAGGAGAATAAGGCAAAAGGAAGACAATACACTTAAAATATTGGGAATTTATTTAAAAACAAGAAACCCCAGTTCTCTCCAATTTTCTGCCTATAGCAGAACTGCCCAGAAATGATGTATGTTCTAAGATATCCCAAGGTGTCACATGATCCTAAATCATCAAAATAAAATTGATTTATGTTTGACATTTTGTACTTACTGAGCCAGGAAAGTAAAGTAGTTCAATTTAGAAAGTTTTTTCTAAACTAATGGTTAAAACAAGAAGAGTTTTTTTGTAAATAGTCAATTGACCAGGAGGTTGGAGTATTCTGGTTAATTGTGATTTTGCTGTATATTGGTATTTTATAGCTCTCTTACCAGTTTGGTTCCCCTTGTTACTGGGTTATAATGTTTAGTATTTGGATCCATTCAGCAAGGACACTTGAAAACTCACCAGCTGTCTTTAAAGGCTTAATTTGTTTTTTATTTTTGTTTTGTTTCTTCTCCAGCTATTTTGGATAAGGGGATGTTTACATTTTAATGTAAAAAATGAAAACAGTTATAAATAATGTTTTATGTATGGAAATGCTTTCTTTCATTATTTAGTGCCTGCATCTCTGAATGTTTATACAACTACCTTGCCTCTATCATGTTGCTGCCAAAGAAACTATGAATTTGGAAAGAGAAAATTTTGCCACGCACGTACAGAAGTTTTTAAACTCTTGAGGGAGAATCCCTAGGCCTCTAATGTGTATGATGGTAATATGTTGTGCTCGTTGCACTTTTACTTCTGAGAGCAAGTCTGCTTTTACCTACCTAATCGTAACGGGTTTTACAGTGCAGGGGAGATGGTAGTTGCCCTCCTGTTAGGGTGGAGGACACTAAGGCAATCAGATGTTAATGACTTACCTAGGGTCACAGAACTAAGCACACACAACTTCTAATCTCTTAGCCCAGTGTTTTCCCACTAGAGTAGAAACTAATGAAGGCAACTAAGATTATATTCAGGAAATATATCCGTTGTTGGTAAAATCAAGGAACTGGGGACTTTAGCCTGCCATTGTCAAATCTAGGTGTATATTATCTTACTTAAGGTAAATCCTTTTTTGATTTTTTTATTTTGATTAATTCTTTTTTTGATTTTGATTGCTTTTTGATTAAGGTATGCTACGAGAGCAAAGATACTCCCTTTTATATCCTAAAGTAATTGTAATATTTGCTTGCTTTTTTGATCTGTATTTGAAATGTGTTTATACCTGGCCTCTTTCCCAAAAGAATTTGAAGCAGCATACCAAGAAATACAATAATGTTAATAAAATATGAACATTAAGGGGAGAAAAACAAGATCAATGAAACTGGAAGGAAGGATGAACACATTGCTGTCACTGGTTATAAAATGTGACTCTCGAATCTCTTGGAAGTCAAGGCTAGAAGAGGAAAACAAGTTTTGCCTTGCTCTCTATCCATAAGTCAAAGTGTGTTCCTTAGGGGAGACGTCTTCCTGATGAATTCTGGTAAAACGTTTGCACTTGGGGGTCCTGTTAAGTGAACAAAATCCTCAATTGTTTTACACACATTTCCATGTTACAGTTGTGCCTTGGATTCTCAACTTGTCCCAGCTTTCAAGGGTTTCATTTCAGGGTGTTTTGTGTGGTTAATAGAGGATTTTGTTCCCGTAAGAATTCTTATCCTAAGCCAAAAACAAATATCCTTGTTAAAGCTTGAAAATCCACTGAAGACAAATGCCTTGAGACATGGAAAACCTTTTACCCAATTTTGTAATTTTATAACTTGGATAAAATGAATGCACTGCTCCTGGATTAGCACATTTATTTGGCATTGAATGTGGTCTTTTTCACAGTGGAATCCAGTCTGAAGAAACACACAGCTCCATTTCTATTGGGCTATGTCTGGAATCTCATTAGAATCCTGACTTGTCAAGGCTTCACAGAGACCAGATTGTCAGGTGAGCCTTAACCCCCATGTCACAGAAGTGCTTCCTCCTAAGGTGAGCTGCCTACCAAAAAGGCAGTCATTGAGCCTTTATTCCAAAAGGTTTATCGAGTAACCCAGGGAGTCACTTGGATTTCCAAGAAAGCTGTTGGATTTCCAAGAGACACAATAAAGTGTGTGCATGTGTGTGTGCCTTCACTTTTCTTCTTGCTATTTTAACAAACTTTTCATGTTAAAAATTGGAGCCATAATAAAGTATGTGGTAAAAGAACAAATAAATTATTTCAAAATCAGCCACCACTCAGACCAAATTGAACAGTTAGCTTTACCACACATTATTGGTTACTCTTTAGGGCTGCGTTCTTTGTGGTCAAGCTTTCTTTGTATTTTTCTGTTTTATTATCTGTAAGGAAGTGGAGTCTTTCTACCTAAAAATGCTGTGGTAAAATCATACCTGATTTTTGGTTTAAATTGGCTTTAGGAATGTCCTAGCCTGAAGTTAGTAGAAGAAACCCCTCCAACTCCAAGGGTTATGAATGAGTTGTTTACAGAGGTCAGGTCAGCTGAGGATTTAACTCTTCTAGTCATGTTTAAGATTAGAGGTATCTGATCATCTTCATCAGTGTTCTGGGACTGCTGTTGAATGTTGACATGTTGCAGCCTTCTCGAGCTTTTCAAAGAGAAGCTTTATCTGTGGCTGCCACTCTTGAAACATCCTTTCTTTGGGTTTCCAAGCTTTCTAGGTTACTTTATTCAGCAGATGAAATCACAGCGTCACAGCACTGCGTGGTTGGAAGCCACGCGACTTGTATCCTCCTTGCTTGTGTTACAGGGAGTGCCGTTAACGTGTGCGTACGTGTTCTTTGGCGTTGGTGGTGCCGGTGTATAATGAATAGTTTCAGCACGGTGGAGGCCGTGGGAAACTCAAGGAGAGAGCAGGCTTAGCTCTCAGAGTTCCTGAAATCAATACCCTAGCCTTATGAATTGCTCTTGGCGTTTCCTTGGCAACAAA